GCATAAAAAGGATAGATGGTACATTTGAAATGAAGATCAGATTAAGAAGGGTTGAGTCTAGGGAGACACAGATCACTGGGAAGGGAACAACAAAATGTCAGCAGACCAGTAATGCCACGACAACATGGCAAAACATAGATTATAGGAATGGGTTAAATTAAGTTGAAAGACCTTATTGGTGGAAGTATTAAGACAACTCCATGTATTTAAAAGGGAGGTTTATTTTGTGGCATAACTTACAAGTAAAGGGATAGGTTACAGGGTCTGGGAAAGGTGTAGTACAGTTCAGCCGTGTTCTCTGGAGAACTATGCTCAGTCGACCTCCAGCGTCCAGGATGCAGGAACCAAGAGATCTGGCTCATCCAGATCTCGGGTCATAAAGGCTCCTCTCTCAGCCCTGCCTCACAGATGTGACAGTTACTGGAAGCCTCAATGGGGGTAGTACTTCAAGGTCAAAGCTGGAACAGCTACCCACTACATCAGCTAGCTAATAAAAGTTGACTCATAGGCCATACAGTTTGTAAGTAATGTAAGCCTCCGAGTGGTTATTTTATAAGCAGCTGCAGGACCATTGGTGGGAGAGATTTGTCCAGACCTCGGGGCCAGGAAGGACAAGAGAAACTTCCTACTGCATATAGTGTGTCATGAGATGCCTAAAGTGGCACAATGGTGGTCTGAGAATGGAAGAGTCATGGAATGAGGAGGCATATCTTGAGACATTGATGACTGTGGTCTAAACACTTTGGTGGCTAGGTACTCTATGGATGACTCAGACTCTCTTCTATTTCTCACATGGAAAAAGCTAGGTTTCAATGATTAAACACATATAACCATGTCATCCATGCCACAAATCCAAGATAGGTGGCTCCTGAGATGCTGTACATTGTGTCTTCATAGGTAGAACTCTGTCTTACAGAGTGGTTCTCTTAGCCCAGGAGTAACTAATTCTCCCTTGGATGTCAGTTCCTCTCCTGATGTGACTAGACCATTTTTTCCTGAGAAGACCAGCATGGTGTCACTCACCATGATGTTATGTTTTCAAAGGTTTGCCAGCAGAGACTGATGGATGAGAAAACAAATTTTTGTATACTCAGCTTCCAATTCTTTGAGCTAAGTAAATCTTTTCATAATAGTATGCATAGCCCTGAGGAATATAATACAGTAACAGAAAGGGAAATTTAAACACAGTTATAGGCAGAGGAAATATATTGAGATGCACTGAGTTCATTCAGTGCTTCCTATTATTTGGGATCACAGAAGAGTTACAGTATCATCTTCTTAAGGCAATATATATTACAATATTGTATCCACATACCAATACAACCTCCTATTTAAAGATTCACCCAACTCTTAATACAACCACAGAAGAGAGCCTGTGCACAGCACATAATCACAAACACTGTAGGTCATAAAAATGAAGGTCTTGTCCACTTTGAAATATTAAGAATAGTTTTAAGTGTGCTTTTGAAACTGATTCGTCATCATGTTTTTGAAAGATTTACATTCTAATAAATAACTCAAAGTTGTTAGATCAAGTGGAATCATCTGAGAATAAGGTGAGGAAATGGTGGCCACATCCTTCATAATTTACTGTGTTTCATAACAATGACCTTTTCCCACATGGCTCCAAACAACCATATAAATAGGATTTGGGCATCTTTACAACCATTCTGAATTGGGTTAACAGACCCCATACTGACTTTCTAAACAAAATATAACAGATTCCTCAGTCTCTTTCTAGCCAGGATTTTAAAATCTCAACATTTTGAAATTTCCTACCAGTTATTTCCCAGAATATTCTCCTTTGAAATTGTTCTGTTCTCATGACCAACTCCTGTATTGCACGTTTCCAAGTGTCCAGGAGAGCAGGCACTGCAGCCTCTTCCTTGGGGAAGATGTACTCTGAAGAAGCCACAGAAAATCCCCTATTTTTATCATCAGCTTTCTTGAAATAACAAACCTCTTTCATTAATTATTTCTGCATGGTTGTGACAAATACCTGAGAAATGAAAGGTGAGAAATGACATATTTATTTTGGCTCATTATTTTTTTAGGAATTTCAGCCCATAATGTAAAGAAAGGTATGTTGGGGATACTCAGTGAGCATAGTATGATGAAAGAAGACTACAGGAATATAAATGAATGTAGACAATGTCCTTACAAGGATCTGACCTACATGAAGTGATTCTTCCACCTAGTGTGAACACAAAACTTTCCCGAACCTTCAAAAATATTGAGAAAAGCAGGGGGATATTATTCAACATTTGAGGCATCTAACAAGCCAACCAGAGTCTATATTTCTGATTACAATTCTTTATGTGAAAACAGCTCCTAGGAGACTATAGAGCTTTCTATTTTGCTATATGACTCCCAACATATTGATATTAAATACATTATGAGAATTTCCTTAAAAACTGTGCTGTTGGTACTAAGGAGAAAGTGTTTTGAGGCAAAGAAAACTCTATGGGCAGCTGTACCCTACTGTCACATGACTTTCTCAGTCTTTCTTTGCAAAAATACATTAGCAGATGGAAGCAATAAGGGGGCCAGCTGGTGCTTCTGCTACAGTCTTCAGTAGTTTATGTCATGGCTTGTATCACTGTGGGAGGGGTACTCTTATACTGCTGACAGTAATAAGTAGCAACATCTTGAGGCTCCATGGTGCTAATGATAAGTGTAAAATCTGTCCCAGATCCACTGCCACTGTACTTTGCAAAAACTACAGATTCCGTGTTGGCTGTATGGTATGTGAGGAGTCTAGGAGAGCTTCCTGGTTTCTGCTGATACCAGGCTAACAAATTACCAATTCCTTCACTTGCCCTGCAATTAATGGTGACTCTGTCTCCTAGAGATGCAGCCAAGGATGGAGATTGGGTCATCTGGATGTCACATATCATGCCTGTGATTGGAAACATACAATCAATATACTTGGTTAGTCATTAGAGAAATGGCTTCTCTGAAGTTCCAGTAAACACTGATTAAGAAGGAACAAAGGAATTCACATAGTTATCTTTCCTTACCTGGGATCCAGAATAGCAGGAACACCAAAAGCTGAGAGGGAGCCTTCATGTTTGTGCTGTGAGGTGATATTGACTGAATCTTGCACAGGGCGTGACCAGACTATTAAGAAGATATGAGTGAACACATGCAAATCATCAGGGCCTAGGCAGATCAGGGCACAGATGCAGGCCTGGTTTATCTTAGAAATGCAGCTGGTCCATGGGCAGGTATCCCAAACTTAGAGCAGAATATTTCAGATTTTACTGAAGACTATTTCTGATAATGTCAAAGTTTATTATAAAATTATTTTTGATACATTTTTCAGCACTACAATGGATATAAACACAACTGTAAAGTCCTTTGTGCTGTGGTATATCTTTCTGTATGCTATGAATATGGGTGGCTCCCATTGGATGGTAAATAAAGCTGTTTTGGCCTACGGCAAGAAAACTTACAGCCAGGCAAGACATTCAGGCAGAGATACATAAAGAAGAAGGGTAAAGTCAGGGTAGATGCCAACCCATGGCTGAAGGAGCAACAAGATGTCAGCAGACTGGTAATGCCATGGCCACATGGCAACATATAGATTTATAAAAATGGGTTAAGTTAAGTTTTAAGAGATAATTAATAATGAAGGTGAAGCTATAGGCCATACAGTTTGTAATTAATATAAGCCTCTAATTGCTGTGGATATAACTCTGTCTACTGTGAATATGTTGCTCTGATTGGTTAATAAATAAAATGCTGATTGGGCAGTAGCCAGGCAGGAAGTATATTATAGGCAGGATAAAGAGAGAGGAGAATTCTGGGAACAGGAAGTCTGAGTCAGGAGATGCTGCCAGCTGCCACCATGAAAAACAAGATGTAAAGATAACAGTAAACCACAATCCATGTGGCAAGGTATGAATTTATAAAAATGGGTTAATTTAAGATGTAAGACCTAGCTAGCAAGAAACCTGAGCAATTAGGCCATACAGTGTGTAAATAATATAAGCCTCTGTGTGTTTAGTTGGGTCCAAGTGGCTGAGGGACTGGCAGGTGAGAAAGATTTGTCCTGACTACCAACAGGCTAGGACACAGGAAACCATCTAACTACAAATACAGTTTTAATTAACATAAGCCTCTGTGTGTTTACTTGGATAAAAGCAGCTGCAGGACTGGTAGGTGAGAGAGATTTGTTCTGACCATGGGTCAGGAGGGACACAAAATTCTTCAGCTACATCTATGTGATTATTTTATAAGCAGCTGAGGGTTTGCAGGTGGGAGAGTTTCATCCAGACTGCTGGTCAAGGCAGAACTGGAGAAACATCCAGCTATACCATTATTTCTTTATTCACATTATGTCTATACAGAATTGTCCCATTTGAAATAATTATTAGAACACACGCATCAGAAACACAAATAGATTCAAAATCAGTGTGATGAACTCTCAGCACTGTTATTTTTCTAGTATACTGAATATTTTTGTGTCTATATACAAGAATAACACTGTTTTTTTTTTAACTATTTTATTACAGGGGCCTGAAGACATGATACTTTTTTTTGTAACAGTTTACTTTTATTATTATTTTTCTTTATTAAGAAATTTTGTATTCGTTTTACATACCAACCACAGATCTTCCTCTCTTCCCTCCTCCTGCTACTGCCCCTAGCCTTGCCCCCCCAACCCAACCCCCATTCCCTCCTCCAAAAAGATAAGGCCTCCCATGGGGAGCCAGCAAAACCTGGTACATTCAATTGAGGCAGGTCCAGGGGCCTCCCCCCTGAATCAAGGCTGTTCAAAGTGTCTCACCATAGGTAGTAGGCTCCAAAAAGCCATACTTGCTGCTCTTACAGAGGATCAAGGCTGAATTCCCAGAACACACATGTTCACTCAAAATCATCTGTAACTCCAGTTCTGGGGTATCCATCACATTCTTCTGTGTTGGTGGCCATGTCAGAGGAGCTGCAGTCAGCAATGCGCTTATGGCCTATAACCCACCAGATAGCAAAACCCAAGGGGAATTGTTCCCAGAATTTCCCTTGCTTCTGATATGTGTCCTCCTGCTTCCTACGGCTATATTCCTCCTGTTTTTGGCATGGTGTGATTAGCACGTTAAAGGATCCAACTGTATCTAGTTGTGTGATTTTTCATGGGAAAACTCCACTCTTCTCTGTGCAATCTATTTTCAAGTCATAATGAAAATGATTTTTGTAAGAGCAATGATGCCTTGTTAAATGTATGCTTTGATTAAGCTTTCTGAATCACCCTAAAAGACAAAGGTGATTGGGACAGCTAGTGAAGATGATTAAGGAAATGGTTTAGGCTATTCTGGAAATGCTCCAATAAGAGATATTTTTTTAAAAAGGCAAAGATAGGCTAGAAGTCACCTTCTCTTTTGTTAGATATAAGATTTGCAGAGGATGTAAAATGAGAACAAGGAAGTTTTGTGCATTATAGACCCATAAATTCTGCCTGTGGAAAGACAGGATGATGATAAAGGAAAACAATTACTTCCCTATACCTAAGATCAGGCTTGAGTTACTTGGTCATGTACCTTACAGAATTAATCAGAAGCCCCAGTATGTGCCTTGAGTAAACAAAGTTGAGAAAGAAAATTTAGTGACTCTTTGTTTGTAAAGAAAAAATAGATGGTAAGCTAGACCACTTGAGTAAAGTTTTGTAAGAATCTGCTACACTGAAACCACAAACAGCTGCCTGCCAGCACAAAAGGAACCAGGGGAAATATACTTGGCTTCCTTAAAACATCATTAATTAATTATAACACAACCATTGCTTTTGGGTGAAGATGTTATGGTGCTAAAATTAATACAAAGAAAAGTGTTTAATGACTTGTGGGCTTCTAAAAATCTATAAACGTTTACATTTGTTTTTTGAAAAATATGTAGCCTGTGATTATGAGGTAATCTTTTTCTTACATAGAAATCTTTGTCTTAGGAGGTCTAAAAGGGGTAAGAGAAAAGTAAACAAGTAGATGGAGAACAACAGAAAAGAGAAGAAGGTAAACAACTGGGTAGAAGAACAGAGAAAAAAACGGAGTAGGAGAAGCACAAAGAGAAAGATAAAACGAGAATTAGCTTTGCTCCTCAGATAAAGTCCCGTGTGTCTGTCTATCTAGTAGTTCTCTGATTCCTCATCTCTGCTCTAGTTTTCTGACCTCTTGTGACCTGCTTCTCTTGGCAGTTCTGGCCTCCACAGGCACCAGGCACACATGGTTTACAAATATACTTGCATGCAAAGCACTCATAAACATAAGCAAAAATAATCTTTTAACAAGCTTTTGTTATACGTGTGTGTGTGTGTGTGTGTGTGTGTGTGTGTGTGTGTGTGTGTGTCTATGTGTGTGTCTGTGTGTAGGTCAGAAGTCAACTTGAAGGAGCCATGTTTTTCATTCTACCATGTGAATCACAGGATTTGAACCTAGGTCTTCAAGCTTGGTAGCACCAGTCTTTATCAACAGAGGCATTTCAGTCACCCCATAGTGTTCTTTAATGTGTGTCACTGGGAGATTCATACATGACAAAACCTACAGATTTCAGTCTTACTCAACCATTCAATAAGCCTCACTGCATTATTGGTTTAGAGTTATTATTTCCAATCAAGCCATCATATCAAACCTTCTTTTCTGACATTAATATTTCCCACTTTTCTTCCACATGCATCCTGTTTAGTGATGCTGGTGACTTAAACAAAAAAATCTCTCCATACAATGCTGGAGAGTTAGTCAGCAGTTAAGAGCACCAGCCATTCTTCTAGAGGTCCTGAGTCCAGCTACCAACACCTACATGGCATCTCACAAGCATCTGTAACTGTAGTTCCAATGTCCAACACCCTCTTGGGAATCCTTGGGCACTGCAAGAATTTGGTACATAGTCATACATGCAAGGAAAAATATCCAAAGACATACAATAGAATAATAAAAACAAAATATCTACTTCTTCCTTCAACTCTAGAATATGAATTAATATAATATGAATCACTAAGTCACTCCAGGACTCTCAGGATCAATTTTCTCCAACAAGAAATTAGATAAGATTCTCTCCTCTGTGTTTTTCCTCAGTTTTCCTCTATGTTATATCATATTTATAAAGGTTTAAATGTAGTTTTTATTGAGCTTGACTTTGTGACCTGAAGAGATGTAGGGAGGCCTTATGCAGTGGAGAGTTCATTAAACCCTCTCTCTTCTTGGATGGGTGGGCTTCACAGTGTAAGGTTCTACT